GTGGGTAGTGTTTTTCTCTACGTTCAAATGATGATTAAAGCTACGTTTTTACAGCCATGTTTCCAGACAGTGATATAGCTTCACAATTTCAGATAGGTCGAATTGAAAACTTTATACAAGTTAAATCATGGTTTAGCTCCTTATTGGAAATTTTAAAATTGTCAGACATCCATTTCTATTCTTTTAATGAGAGTTTAAATGAGGTCACTCTAACTTCTGAAATGAATATTTATATTAGATTCTGGGATGTTAATAGAAATTGTGTAAATGTCCATTTACACACTACTTATTTCATGGATATTGTTAAAAACTATTATACATTATCTTATTAACATCGAAACTTGCAGTTTTCATATTGCCCATGGCAGTTTTAAAATGGAGAGGCTGTCACAGAATGGAATCTGAAAAAAAGTTTTGAATGCCACCTATTATATTTTACATGATACTCGTGCAAGGAGGAAGACTATAAGTCAGTTACTGGTTCTTTTGTCCTCTTAACTTCTGATCAACAAGGTTAACAAGGAACTCAAAGAGTTCTTTAAGGTGGGCAGGAAATTTGTTGATTCAATGGTGAAAAGCTTTTGTGACAAATCTCTATTGAATTATTCATTGATAAGAGCATCCAGTATCTTAGATCCTAATGCCTTGATTGAGTTAACAAAACTAAAATTTGATTGGTTGATCATTTTAAAACTTTATCTAGGAGTTTAAGGATTTTATCACCACAGCAATGTGACTTGGTGTTTCTCAGTAACATGTGACTTGGTGTTTCTCAGCAACATGTGACTTGGTGTTTCTCAGTTTAAAGATTTTATGGATAATGAAGTCAAAGCAAAAAGCAAAAAATCTTTTAAGTTTTTTCATCCAAAGGATTGTCTTGTTGATTTTTATTTTTATTATGCTTCTGTCAGCAATTACATCGTTTTGTCATTAAATTAATTTTAACAATTAGTCATGAGCAGGCTGCTGTTGAGTGTGGTTTTAGCATAAGCAACTCTTCTGTTAAAACAAACATGATACCTTCAAATATTATCTCCCTGAGAATAGTAAAGGACTATCTAATTGCCAATTATTTAAAATTGCACATATTCAAAATCACTGCGTCATTGGTCAAAGCTTTTTGATCAGCCCATCAAAAATTATATAATTGAGTTAGAGTGTTTAATATACTAACAAATGTTAAAAAAGATAGAGGAAACAGAGCAAGAACAAAAAGCAATGCATATCAGCCGACATCGAAAAATTGAATCAAAAAGTTAAGTTTGCAAAAGCTCTTTTAATGATGGAAAACGAGATTACAGAGTGTATGGAACATGCAGAGAAAAAAGTGACCTGAAAGGGAATGGATCAAAAAGAAAAAGTTTTGAAACCAAGAGGTTGAGTTAGTAGAAAAACAAATTAAAGAACTTAAAAATTAAAAAAATGGTCAAGTTAGTTTTTATTAACAAATGACTCTCTTACTTTGTTTCAGTATATCTTATTGTTATTATTATCTTAAATTGTTTCTCCTTTAAAGTTTTCAGAACTTGTGATTTATTGAGAAATTTTGCTATTTATTTTATTTTATTTATTTTATCTTAACTAAGATAAAAAAATGTTTTAAAAGGATTGTTCCTTTCATCAGAGTTTTTTTGATATAACAACTAGAAACTTGGTAAGCCTACAAGTTGTTCTTTATTTTAAATAGTTATTTGTTAGCTGTCATGAATATTTTGTTTTTGTTTTTTAGCTTTTTTTAAGTTAATTGCTTGAATTTGTGCTTCAGTCTGAAGTTATGATTTTTCAGATTTCATTAAGTTTAATTTGTTAGTAATTCTGATATTAGTAAAATTTTAAAAAATGTGTCATTTAAGTCCTTGCTTTTGTTTTATAAGTACATTGGTTGTCTTTAATACAATTTTTGTATCACTGGAATTTAAGTACTTTTTTAATACTGATGCTGGAAAAAGCTATGGTTTTAAGTACCAAAATCCTGGAAAAACGTATCTAAATGAAGAAATAAGTGCTGGAATTTTTTAAAAATTTGAGTGGAATTCCTGATATATATATATATATATATATATATATATATATATATATATATATATATATATATATATATATATATATATATATATATATATATATATATATATATATATATATATATATATATATATATATATAAATTTGTTTAGGTTCGCCCGATTAATATTGATGATTTTGAGAATGCGCTTAAACAGATTCGTCCAAGTGTTTCAATTAACGATTTGCAAGTGTATGTGGACTGGAATAGGTTATATGGGTGCGGTACATCTGTTACATGAATAAAACAGGAAACTGTGTAGTGCAAAAATTAAATTTATGTTTTTTTGGTTTGGTTTGCAGCATAGTTTATACTGGTTCAATATTTATTGGTTTATACTCTCGAATGTATTTTAAAAAAATCAATTGTAGCTATTTGTTGTAGCAAGTTTTTAACTTTCTCGTTGCAGTAGAAAGTAATAATAAAGTTTCTTTATTTCATTGTTTTTTCTTTAATAAGATTGAAAGTAAATTTGATATTTATTAACATTTTTTTACAGATTTTAGATTTTCTTTAAACATAATAATTTATAAATATCTTGGAATATTTCTAATGTTTGAAATATTTTGAAATGCATTAAATATGTTCTGGCCAAGTTACAAAAAGAGACAAAAAATGAAGAAAAAAAGACAGCAAGAATAAGTGTCAGCATATAACCTATTTTTATATTTAATTGAGTCATAAGTTGTGAAGTAATTTTCTGCTTATCAAAACCCTAACCCTAACCTAAAAAATTATCAAAACCCTAACCCTGACCGTTCTCTCACATTTAGGGCAATGGGGAGAAAATTTAGGTTGTTTTTTTGTTCTCGGGCTCCAATGATTTTAACTTCTTGTACAGTATCCTTATTTGACATTAGTGTAAGCATATAGATGTTTAGAAATTGCTCTATGAAGTTAGATATCTCTAACACAAAAAAAAAAATGCTGCAACTCTGTCCCTGTTCAAAAATGCCCTGTTCCCTGAAAATTTTAATATTTTTTAAATTAATATAAAGATGTATATAAAGAACATTTTTCCATATAAAAACGATAAGGGGTCGTCCATAAAGTACGTTGTATTTTACGTCGGCAAAACGTTGTATTTTAAGTTGATTCAACGTTATATTTTACGTTTGCACAACTTTATACTTACATTTTATCGGAATTTAATTAATTTGTTTTATGTTAAGTATATCACATATTAACATAAAATATTATAAATTTTTGCGCATATATAGTATACATACATACATTTTTCCGCCATTTTGATGATGAATTATTATTGCCTATTACATAGGGTAATTACGCCAATTACTGGCCACACTTTTACAAGAACGCTCGTTACAGAATAATACTCAAGTACATGTTACATATCATATATCAATTTTTATAAAGTTTAAGGCTCTGTCATTCTAAGTAAAAATATTTGTGATTATAATAACACAAAAATATATATAAAGCAGATAATAAAGGTAGATAATTTTACCAAATACTGGCCATTTTAACCATTTATTGGCCGTTGGCAAGAAATTAGAAAACACGTTTAACAGATTAAAAGGGGCACTTTAAATTGATTTATTATCATAAAATTAAAAAAAAAAAACGGAAAAAAAAGCACAGCATAAAATCAAGATAACTTGTTCAGTTAGATTAATTATACAATCATTAAAGTGAATTAACAACTTACAAAAAAAAAATTATTGCTAAAAATATCATTTTTTTTCATTCCTCTTCGTCAATTTCTTTAGGTTTGATACACGATCTAGCTTCTTTTTAGCAGAAATTTCTTTTTTTTCTTTGAAAATCTTTTTTTTTAACTTTTCTTTTTTCACATGCTACCTTTGCAGCACTATCCTCAGGGTTTGCATTATAACCTCTGAGGTCAGAAAAAAAACTTTAATTAGAGTTTTTTGATTTTTTTTTTTTTTTTTTTTGTTATGTTTAATTTGTGGAGAAGGATATGCAAGAACATCTGAATCGATGTCTAATGGACAAGATGAGTAAATGGTAATGAAAGATCTGTTAATGTTTTTTGCAAAACATTAACAGATCTTTCATCTATTTTTTCATCATTCGAATCAAATGTTGATTCAGTTACTTCTACTTCTTCAAGACTTGTTTCTGTATCAATATTTAAACCAATATTGTCTTTAACAGAAAAATCAACAAACTGATTGTTTTGTACTGGTTTCATTTTTGCATAGCTGTGTTTTGTAACAATATTTGAATATTTCACAGCAGTGGCGGAACTTCAAAATTTGGCCCCCCCCCCCCCTGCAAAAGAATGTTTTTTTTGCGGAAAAGAGTTTTATAGTATAAATATTATTGAGAGTATAACTTTTTTATATGAGGGCCCCCTATAGCTGGTAGGCCCCCCGCAACGCAGGGTCCTGCGTCCAGTAGTTCCGCCACTGTTTCACAGTATTGCCTTAAATGTAAAAATCAAGATAGGTTGAAGATAGTGAGTTGATTGTATAGCCATTCAAAACCTATTTAAATTCTGCTAATAATAATTTATTATATGACAGTGAATTAACGTTAAAAGAAATTGAGGAGGCTTTCTCATCTTTAAAAATGAACAAATCGCCGGGTTTTGATGGAATATCCAGCAATATAGTAATTTTAAATAAAAAACATATTATCAAACCTCTGTTTCAGATTATGAAAATTTCAATAAATGAAGGTGTATTTCCTGATACATTAAAAGTAGCTAAAGTGTACCCAATCTATAAAGGCAATGATAGTTCTGATATCTCAAATTATAGACCTATATCCGTATTATCTGTTTTTTCAAAAATATTCGAATGCGTTATGTATAACCAAATTCATGTCCATTTCACAAAAAACAATTTCTTTTACTCTAAACAGAGTTTTTTCAAAAGAATATTTCAACGGAGCATGCCATTATTGAATTAGTTGACCAAATAACTAACGGTTTTGAAAAAAATAAATTTACACTAGGAATTTTTATAGATCTGTCGAAAGCATTTGACACAGTAGACCACTCTATACTCTTAGAAAAAATAAATTATTATTGTGTAACAAACTAAATATTTTCTTGGATAAAAAGCTATTTTACTGACCGAAAACAATATGTGATAAATCCGGATTCTGGTACATTAAATATTCTGTGTGGAGTACCACAAAGTTCAATTCTCGGCCCTTTCCTTTTTTTTTAATATATGTAAACGACTTCAGTAATGTATCTGCAAATTTAAATTCAATTATGTATGCTGATGACACTAATTTGTTTATGTCCAATGGTGATATTAATCCGCTATATGTTGAAATGAATATTGAGCTGTTAAAGGTAAATAAATGGTTCAAAGCTAATAAACTCTCAATAAACGCAGACAAAACTCAATATATATTATTTTATAAAAAACGCAGGAAGAAAACCTGCCACTTAAATTACCATTTATTTCTATAAATATACAAATTTAAAAAAAGAATGTTTAAAGTACCTAGGAGTCGATGAAAACTTATCTTGGCTTTCCTACATAAAATACATTGAATCAAAAATTAAAAAAACTATTGGTATAATATATAGACTTAGTCCTTTAATTAATACTCAAAGTCTTAAATTAATAAACTTCAGCCTAATTCATAACTATATTAATTATGGTAACATTACGTGGGCAAGCACTTAACCCTCCTAACTTAAAAGGATATTTAGTGTACAAAAACATGCTTGCAGAATTATATACGGAAAAAATAAATTTGAGCATGCAAAGCCATTAATGAGGGAAATAAAGATGATGAATGTATACGAGATATATACATTTCAACAAATGATCTTTATGTATTATCATTTTTCACATCAAAAAACTTTGAAACAAAATTTAAGATAAATCAAAACATTAACTATTTTCTGAGATCAAACGAGAGGCTCACATTCACACTACCTCGTAAACTAACTAAATACAAAGAATATAGTATAACATATCCAGGGCCTAATATATGGAATAGTTTTAAAAATAACTATATCAATATGGTGAAAACAGTAAATTCATTTAAGTTTTGTATAAAAAATTTTGAAATCAAATGACAGCTTTGAAACTTAACAATTTTAATATACACTATCATTTTTTAAACTAATTTTTTCATATATTCAAAGGAATTTATTCCTCTTTATGTTTTTTTTTCTTTATTTTATTTTATTTTTTTTTTCGGAATTTTGTTATTTTTTTGAAGTTTTTTAACGGAGTTTTTATTTTTTACTATTATTTTTAATTTTTATTTTATTATAATAACTTTATTTTCTTTACAATTGTTAAAGCTTACATAGAGGCTCTATGAAAAGATTGCGGTGACTCTGGTCATCCATATTTTCTTTGAGCCCCTGTTTGTTTATATAAATATATATATATTTTTTTTCTTTTTTTTTTTATGGAAAAATTTTTTATATTATTGTATGAACAGCAAAATATATGTAAAAAAAAAAAAAGTTACTCCACTTGGAGCATTTCTGTATCAAAACCATAAAGGGTACGTACAGTTTTTCTTTTCCCTATTATATAATGCGGTATGACTTGACTGGCTGCATTTAATCAACATATAACAGTAATTGTCTCTTTTTTTCCATCTGTTTGAGACTATGTATTTTGAGCCATTCCTAGCAACAACACGACTTGGTTTATGCTCTAGATGCATCCCTGTTTTGTCCATGTTCCACATACATTCTGATTCGTCCAGTAAATTCTTGTTTTGTATTAGAACTTCTAAAGAAGTAAAATATTTTGAAACTTTAACCCTATCCATACACATGTGTCGTATAGAAGCTGTAGCTTCTCGTGACGAAGACTGTCTCTTCTTAAGTAGCTGCCACCACCTTTCACTAGGTCAACCATTTTTAAAAATTATGTTATATTTTTTAGCAAGCATAGCAGCATACACGATAAATGCTTTTTTTCCGAAACCAATTCCCATTTGGGCACGATTGCCAGTTTTTCTTCAAGATCACCGAGCGTTGGTTTTTTTTCCTAGTTTTGATGCTATTCTGGACTTTCCAGAGATCATGGTTTGCAGAGTCGATTGTGGAACTTTATAAAATACACCTGCTTTCCGTTGAGACATACCTGTTAAAAATGTACGTAAAACTGTACGTTGTTTCATGTTATTCTCAGTCCACAGCATGCGTTTTTTTATTATACTTGTTGAAAAAGTTGGTTTCATTGTAAAATTTGATTTATTTTCAAAAATATTTTCACTCATTTTTTTCATATTTAATATTATTATCTACTAAAAAAATAAAAATAAAAAAACATATATTTATAGGGTACGTTTAGAAATATTAATGGGTTATGCATTAAGTCTTCGAACTTTTTTGAAACTTATTTAAATAAGGAGAGTAATTTTTCAACCTTCAACTTGTTGTTTATTTTGAAGATCAAACATTAATGTATTTAAATCACTTTTAATTTTTATCTAGACTTCTATACAAAAAAAATGAC